GTAGCGGTGTAGCCGAAGCGGAGCGAGCTGCCGAGTCCCGCTCCTCTCTCTCCCGCCCGCCCTTTTCCCTGCCCGCCCTGCCGCCGGCAGCGTGGGCAGCCCTGGGACGGGGATGGAGCAGAGCCGAGCCAGGAGGGGCTCTGGCCCGCCTCCGCCCGAGTGCTGCGGGGTCATCTGCTTGGGACAGGGGCGACGCTCTGTTTTGCCGAGGGACAATTACTGGAACTGGGTTTTTTTAAGTCTTTTTGACCTTAATTTTATTTGTCGCTAATTGTTCAGAACTATTTCAGGTGAATGAAATAAGAATCAGTAATGAATGGCAGAAGGTGAATGGCGTGAGAACCAGCAATGCTTGTTATAACCGGCTTCTATCACCTCCAGGTGCTGGTGTCTCTGAGAACCCTCTCAGAGGAGACCCAAGTTCCTTGGTTTTTCCGCTCTTGCCCTCCAGGGAAAAGACTAAATGTATATATATATATATTACCCCTCCCCTTCCCCCCCCCATTTCTGCATGTCCATCAACCAAAGTCATCTGTGGAACTGAGGTTAAAAATAAAGTCCATAACTTCTAGTGAATATTTTTGTCATCTTTCTGGAAGTTTTTTTTTAATAGTAGAATAAATAATAAATAAGAAATAAAGAAATAAAACCAGTAGTCAGTTTCATCACACTGCCAAAAAGTCAAATGGAGACTAAATCTAACCTTGGCACTCAATATTGCAGGGGAAACTGTAAGATAAATGCTAAAACAGAAATTATTCTGTTGAGTTTCTTTATCTTTCAGTGTCAAATTCTGTTTATTCCCTTGTTTCATGTTTAGAAAAAACACAAAAAATGTAAAATTTGCTTTCTGTACACATATATATACAAACTAAATGTTAAAATATTACAGGTTAGGAGCAGCATGGATAGAAAACACAAATGTGTTAAAGGTCATAATTCTGAGACTATAAGGATTGTTTTGATGATCTGATTCAATTGCTGATTTTATTCCTAACAAAATTACTATCTTGGATGCTGCTGTTATTGCAGAGGGTTTCCTGAATTGTTTTGAATTGATATTAACTCATTGGTAACTGGAAAGTGTCACCAACTTTTTTTTTTTTTTTTTTTTAATTACTTAGTAGTAGTTAAGTAGCTCTTCACAATTTTAATCAGTGTTTACATGATCTGGAGTGGTCTTTTTAATTTAATCTCATGTATCGTTCAGCTGGCATTTCCAAAGTATCTGACTCTAGGGCATGTTAAATCACTGGAAACTTTAAATAAACTTATTTGCCTTAACAAAGCAGATACTCAGCTCTGCATTTCCTTCTAACAGCTAATGATTCAAATAGTGTTTCCATGTTGATACTCTTGTTACAGACATTGCGATCATTGAGGGTTTTGTGTAATTGCCTCATTTTGTTTATTCTGGCAGCTTAATTGCTTTTTTGTGTAGCTTTGCAGTTTTGGATTACTAAGTGGTCTAAATATGGTGTTTTGATGTCTGTAGCATAGATTTGTTAGTAATTATGTTTTAAAAGATGGCAATATCTGCATTTAAATTACTGTTTAATTTACTGTAGTATAATAAATAAAACTGCTGTATTTTAATAGTACAACACATTCTTAGTAATCTTCAGTAATACAGATTCAAATCTGACTTTCAAAATAAGCATACATTAGGCCTTTATTTCCTTTATAACAGCATGGGTCGTTTTCAGAAGAATATCCAGTGGAAGAAGCTTACATTACTAACTTCACTACAGTTTTGCCTTCTGTTTTCTTTGGGGTCTGATTCAATTAATGCACTTTGTACTTTTCTTATTTTTATTTATGAAAGGTTGTTGGAGATGATCTGATAGTTGAAAGAAAAATATTTCTTTAGTGTCTCTCAGGTGCAGAGAGAAAGCACTTTCTCGTTATGTATTTCAAGTAATCCTGATAAATTCTCCTGTGATACTGTTGGCTTTTGATTTTGATTTTCAGTGAGAGGAATTGCATTGTATTTTTCTGTTGGAAAAGAGCTTTACTTTGTTATTTCTATTTAGAAACAACTGGACAGCCACTATGTTTATAAAAATGGGGAAAAAGTTTTTATTTTGACAAGTATGTTCTCAGTTGCTAAATGGAATGTTAGGACTAACCATTTTTGTGCTTCAGGCTGAAAGCAGCTTCAGTGAAGAGGAGGAAGAAAAACTTCAAATAGCTTTTTCATTGGAAAAGCAGGATCTTCATCTAGTTCTTGAAACTATATCATTCATTTTGGAACAGGTACCTTGTTTCTGTCCTTATACATTGATAAATATATGTATTTTTTTAATCCAGTTGTAGATTTCAAAAAAATCTACAAAGGTTAAAAAGGAATTAGTGAAAACATGTGTCTGTAGTATACTGTGTATGTTTTGGAGGCATGATTTTATTGCTTTTGTTTGCATGCCTTCCTGATTTGGATTGGACTCATTGTATTTGTGGAGTGAGTTTTCATCTAATGTAAATGTAGGTGGTGGAAGCGAGCTCTGCATGACTCCGAGAGAAGTGTTGACAATTACGAGATATAGTCTTTCCTCTCATTCATTGTAAGCCAGCCAGCCATGTATTTTTTTAGTTCCTCTAAGGAAAATATTAGATGGCATTATTGAAGCCTGCTTAAGTTACATGAAGTATCAGTTATGGAAAATTTTCATGCACAGAAGCAGTCTGTACTTAGGTGAACAGGCGCACCTGATGTAGCTCTACTATCTGAACAAGTAGGTGACTGCATGGTGTAGAGCTGAATATCTTGTAAACAAAGAATGTTTTCTGGTTCTACAGTCTACCACTACTGAGGCTGGGAAGCCAATGTATTACCTGTTAAATATGGTAACTTTCTTAGAAATTGTCACAGCCGTGATGTTATCCATCTATTTCATGCAAGTATAGTAAGTGTAGTCTGTGCAGAGGGCATGCATTCTGATGGTCTGTTGTGGAATTTGAATCTTGTCCTTTCTTACGCATGTCAGTTTATGATTAATTCACCTAGTTAACACATTCCACAGCATCAGAAAGAAAACAAACAGTCCTCCCCACAGCTCCTGTCCACTGAAAAATGAAAACGAAACCTGAGGTCACATCCAGACTGGAATTTTGAATTTTCATCTCAATAAAACAGCAAACTTGCTTGTTTTATTGCCTGGTCCTAACTTCATCAGACTGCTTCATTTATATGATATTTATTGAAGATGAACAGAAAAAGCAGTTCAGCCTCCTCTAGGACTTACTTCTTTTGCATTTAAAAAAAAAGAAAGGGAAGGGTATTAATATCTGCCCAAAGAAGAGTCCCAGATGGAATACGTGTTGTATGAGGACTC